TGGGGTCAGCTGTCCCAGCCGTGTCCCCTCCCAACCTCTCATGCACCCCCAGCCTGCTCGCTGGTGGAGTGGTGTGAGAAGCAGAAAAGGCCTTGACTCTGTGTAAGCACTGCTCAGCAATAACAAAAACATCCCTGTATTATCAACACTGTTTTCAGCACAAATGCAAAACATAGCCCCATACTAGCTACTATGAAGAAAATTAACTCTATCCCAGGCAAAACTAGCACAAGGAAGAGTTTTATCTTTAATCATTCAATGTTTTAGTTTGCAGTTGCCAATAATGTATCCATACTCAGTTTACTGTTTTCTTTTCTAAATTCAGAATATTTTCTCCTTTCTTTGGGTCTTTCTAGCAGCAGCAGATGTAAAAAATTTGACTTTTGTGCAAATGTGGGATTTTACAAACTGAGTGAATTAGAAGTAAGGCAATGTGGTTGGTTGTCTTTGAAATTAAAACTGTTAGTTTTGAATTGTCAGGTGTTATATACTGAATATTTAAAATTCTGCTGATATAAAAGAAGATGCTTCTCATTTTTTCATTATCAAAATACCCACAAATCCCATTTATTTTTGTCATTTAGATTGTGGCGATGTAGGGTTGTATTCAAGATTCTTGTATAATTGAACACATATGTACACACCTTCTTAACTTTATGAAATGTGGCTATGATTTTTATAATTAGAGTTCTTCAGGAAAATGTACCACTGTGGAGCACTGTGGTGTTGTGATTGTAATATTGTGAATCATTTTCCTAATCGTTAATGGCTAAAGTAGTCAAGATTGTTAGTGATTCTATAATAATGATTCTATTCTATTCTATTCTATTCTATTCTATTCTATTCTATTCTATTCTATTCTATTCTGTTCTATTCTGTTCTGTTCTTATTGTAGTCTCATACTTTTGGAGCGATGTTGTATTACTAGATGATACAAGATGCTGTATGGGGAAGTCAGACGTTTTGGCAAGCAGATGAGAGGTGATTCTGTAAAAGTGAGAGGTAGCGTGGGATTGTGGGATGTGCACTTCTTGTTTCTCCTAAATTACAGTAGGAAAGTAGTTAATATAACTGGCAGTGATTATTGCTTATGCTTCAGATTTAACGTCCAGCTGAGATTAATTAGAAGAAGGCTTCTGAGAACAGCGAGATCTTGGAGCACTGTCTGAATTGCCATTGGGAGAGGGAAAGGTACTGATCACTTTCTTAAGGTGTAGCTATAGCCTGATCAATGTTTTTGAAAAACTTTACGTGACCTGGTTGTAGGCAATAATCTGGACCCAAATTCAACAACCTGAGAGGTCCCTTCCAATCTCATATTACTGTAAGTGCTGTGACTTGTGTGTAGATTCAGGAAAGCATTATTAGCAGATTACCTAATGACTCAGTTGGCAGCTGGAAGTTTTTTGCACATTTTAAAGGCTAACTGAAGCTAATTAAGGATATCAGGCCAAAGCTTTATGCTCAATTTTGATGCCTGCAGCCATGGAATTGTCTATTTAAGATGCTCAGATCTCAGCCCAGTATATCTATTAGTGGTAAAACGTAAACTTCAGATGTATACTTCATGAAGTGCTTACAGTTCTTGGGTAAATGTTTACCAGTCTAGTATATTTTTAATAATTTTGGTACAAAAATACATTCTGTAGAGCCTGCGTGGTTATTTACTGCCAACTTTAGGGAGTTAATTTTAAATGGCTGGTTTGCAAAATAGGTCTAATTTTGAAGTTTTTGATTTGATTTTAGGGATACTGGTGTTTTAAGGTGTGAGTAGAAATAGGGGGAAATGGCTTATGTGGGCATAAAAATGATGTGAAAGAGTGAATTAATTCTTTAATGAGTAATAACTCAAGGTTTAGGGAGATGTCTGTTCTTTGAACGGATTTTAAAATTCCTGAAAATATTCAGTATAACATATGTTCTGTGTCTCCTAGTACACATAGTGCGTTTTAGGGAACGTGGTTTTCCTTCCATTTTGGAAATTTTTCCAGTAAGTCAATGCCTGCCGTGTGTGTGGAATACTGTTTCCTTGGAACTGAATTTCTCTGGCCTTACATCTTCCGACCCTTGATAAACACACAAGTCGTCTACTCCCATCCCATGTGATGAGCTTCCGAAATCTCAGAGAGCGATACGAAAGAGAAGTGCTGCACAGCTACAACAAACAGCTTTGAATAAGTGCTTGTATTTGCTAACTGATTAAATCTATTTATAACGTGTAAAACTAGCTTATCTTAGGGTCTGGTCAGAAAATTGCAGGCAATCTTAAAATGGTGTGTGGTGAGCAGACACTTTCAGCTGGGAATTGCTACCCCTTAGCTAGAGCAGGAGGGCTGACCGAATGTGTCGGTCCAGGTTGTTGGCACGTGAAGTAAAGTGAGATAAAGCCAAACTTTCAGCTGTGACGTTTCATCTGAGAGGGTTGCTTTTTCGAGAGCATTAATTCAATTGCTTTGTGATTGTTGGACCGTGTTCTTAGTTCATGACGTTAGGAGCATCTAAATAAAGGGTGTGATGTATGTATGTAAGAGCGATGTTTCTCATTTCAAGGAAGTGGTAGGAACATTAAAGTGTTTTCTGCTTTTTCTGTATTTTTATTACTTGCATTAAAGTTAAGGAGAATATGATGTCTGATAACAGAAGATGTTTATGAACTTTAGGTCAGGTCTTGGTTAAGTCTCAAAAAGGTCTAGAATAACTTCAAATGATGTTTATATCACATTATCTAGAAATTGTATTATAAGATTCGCATCACGTTATCACACTACAAATTGGAAATATTCTGGAAATATTAGAGACCATTTTGGAATACAATATCCAAATGCACTTGCTTTTTCTCATACCCTTTGTGTGCTTCAAAGCTAAAGAAAATCAGTTTCGAGACTCATACAATTAGTATGCTGTGTCATGTCATTTCATCTGAATAAGTGGAGAATTTCTGTGATCGGTTGGATGAATCCCACACACGCTAGCAAAAGCAGCATACACGTTTAAAATATACTAATTTGTGTCTTACTCATTTCAAAAAATGGGCTTTATGTAGGCAGGGTTCAGTCTGCAGTGGAAAGGTTTGGATCGGTTTTTGACTAAAAATATTTGCCTGTTAAAAATATCCCTAGCTGTTTCTGTTCTCACACTTTCCATGTAATAATTATTCCTAATGGTAAGCTGATTTCATGCTGAAGGCTTCAGTTCAGCAACGCACTTGAAGTCATGCATGACTTGCATCATACTGGATCATTCCCTCTATTTTAAAGGCATAATTCATGTGCTTGAATCAGACACACATTTAAGTACCTTGTTGAATTAGTGCCTATGTGGAAATGGTTTTTCTCCTCACATAATCAAATTTGGAACTGGAAATGACCTTGTGTAGATAGTTTTTAACATTTTTTTTCTGAATTTTGCCAGCATCAGTTGCTGCTTACTTTAATATTTGTGGGTTTGCAGCTATCCAGACAGTTGAATTATTTTGTATTCATCTTCACAATAATTATATGCCTCTCAACTGCCTTTTTGGTTTACATGTAAAATTAGCATTTTGCCGTCATTGTTTAAAAAATAGCAATGCAAAGTCTGGTTGTCCAGAGAATTAGTCTCAATTTAATGTGAATAGATACAAATTTAAATTCACAGTGTGTGAATTTCATATAAGGTGTAACGTAAATGTTAAAAAGCGTAACTTTCATCTATATGCGTAGCTATTTAGATACGTATTTACCTTGTCTCCTGTATTTTAATATTTTTCAGACCAGTATAAAAGAAGGATTACTACTGAAGCAAACCAGTTCTTTTCAGAGGTGGAAAAAGCGTTATTTCAAACTTCGAGGTCGTACCCTTTACTATGCTAAGGATTCAAAGGTAATTCTATGCTATTAGTGTCTAATGCCATATACTTGTAACTCCAATCTTGTTTAGATTTATAAGTGCAATAATAATTATTTAACTATTTGTTAGTGATTGTTTTATTAAAAAACTGCTGTATATAAGATGTAGTGTGTTAAATTAACTTTAACTAAGGAAGATTGGTGATTTCTTTTGGTTTTTTTTAATGAAGTTTATGACAGTTACTTTAACCTTTTTGACTATTCAGACAAATAATAAATTCATCTTAAGGAGTTGCGTGGTGGTTTTGGGGGGTGGCTTTTAGGCAGTCAAATCTAACATTAAAAAAAAAAAAAAAATTGGATAATGCTCAGAAGTTATCCCTCAAACTGAATGCCATTAAAACTCTTCTACTCTGATGCCCATATTGCTGTTAAAGAGGTGGAAATGGTTATGTGAAATCAAGATAGGAAGATTTTCTGCCAAAACTGATATATAAGGGAAGAAGCTGTTTCCCATCAATTGAAATTTTTGGTGGGAAAATTGGGGGTGGGCAGAGGGGAATACTTGTCTTCTTTCCAAAAGGCATTTCCTCCCTCCCCCTCAGGGTCGGGACTGAGAGCATTTTGGCTTGTTGGGCTGGCTCAGATTGTGCTATTCCATAGCGGTGGGCATGACTTTTCTTTACCCTGTGGGGTTGCAGTGACTCATGGGAGCTGTAGGTGAGGCGCTTCAGGTTTCTGTCATCTTCCATAGCCTGGTCTTCTCAATAAAACTGTTACTGAGGCATGGAGACCTCTCTTTCTAGAACCGTCTGACTGTAATTGCATGGTGCACAGTTGTGTGGCTGTGATGAATCAAGGAAAACATCCTCTCTCCAGTGAGCGCAGCACTGAAGTACCTCTGTCGTCACACTTCTCTGCACATGGTGCTACCACGAACAGTTCATATAAAGACTTAATAAACATGGCAGATAAGAGCTCTGAGAATGGCAACATCATCTGTGTCATAAAGATGAGAAAAGGAGGTGTAATGAGTAGGCAACTGTACAAATACTCTGTAACGTTGAATCCAGACATGCTGAAACTCCCCCAACATTGATTCTCCTTCCCATAGCATGGAAGAGAAAGAACATGGTATGGCTAAAAAAAGGGGGAGGCATTTTTGTTGGTCTTCCCTTCTGTGCTTCAAAGCCCATCATGAGTTTCACAGAACCTAATGAATCCCTTGCCAGAGGCTGGGGTGTTTAAAGAAGACATATATTTCTCTTTCTGGAACATCAAACAAACATCAAACAAAGGAGTGGAAGGGATCTCTTCAGGCCCTTGAGCTCTGTTTTCTTCTATGGATACCGTATCATAGATTCCCCTTCATGAATTTAGCGTTCCATCCTAAAACTGATTAATTAATTTATATTTCACTAAGTGTGAATCTTTTTCTTCTGACACCACATTTATGCTACACAGTAGACACCCCAAAGCTGCATCTATTTAAAAAAAAAAAAAATCTTTAAAAGAGATTTTAAAGCGATATATATTTTTTGGAGCAACTTTTTTATGATCTCATGTACCACTTAGCAAATAGGACTGTGTTTAGGGGTCAAATAGGAAGTTTTATCACATCATCAGTGTTCTCTTATTTTTTCACCACTTTTTTTCTCTATTTTTATTTTCCAATTGGAATGGACACAAGGAAATGAAAACACAGACTGTAAGCATATCTGAAAGTGGACTCAGAGTATATTTAATGTTTTTATGTTCTTTTCCATTCACAGTCTCTAATATTTGATGAAGTTGACCTGTCAGATGCCAGCGTAGCTGAATCGAGCACAAAAAATGTCAACAACAGCTTCACGGTATGGAACCATTATAATACTGGTCTTGAAAGCTGTGGATAGACTGTTACTAAAAAAATCAAGAATCCTCTGAATTGCTTCTTATTTTCCTCTGTTTGGAAATAAAATGTCCTTTATTTGCAAATGGTATAACGCATCAGAACAATATCACATCAGCTATTAATAATTTTGTTTCTGTGATTTTTTTTTAGCAGAAGTAAGAACGTTAGATAACAGTTGCTTCACAAGATGATGATACAAAGCATTAAAAATTTAGCAAGATTCAGTATTAGTTCTTCATTAGTACTTATTAGTACAGCTTGGTTTTTTGCTGTAGTTTGTCTTTGAGGTGACATGCTGAATTGATTCAAATGTCATTGTGTTATTGTTTTAATTTCTTATGATAACATTTTTGGTTTTCTGTCATATTGAAGTGTATTTTATTTTTTTCATTGCTGATCATAACCCTATATGTTTCCAAGTCATGTGGAAAAGCTCTCTTCACAGTCGTACCTTGATTCTGATACTGGTATAAGAAACAAAGCACGTTCATAAATCCCTATTTCTGTAACTTCACAACTGTGTTTTACACACAGGTCTTGCCATTTATTGTTGTCCTGGTTTCGGCAGGGTTAGAGTTAATTTCCTTCCTAGTAGCTGGTACAGTGCTGTGTTTTGGATTTGGGATGGGAACAAAATTGATAACACACCGATGTTTTAGTTGTTGCTAGGTAGTGCTTACACTAGCCAAGGACTTTTTAGTTTTCCATGCTCTACCGACTGAGAAGGCTGGAGGTGCACAAGAAGCTGGGAGGGGGCGCAGCCAGGACAGCTGACCCCAACTGGCCAAAGGGATATTCCGTACCATGTGACGTCATGCTCAGTATATAAAGCTGGGGGAAGAAGAAGGAAGGGGGGACGTTTGGAGTGATGGTGTTTGTCTTCCCAAGTAACTATAACGCGTGATGGAGCCCTGCTTTCCTGGAGATGGCTGAACACCTGCCTGCCAGTGGGAAGTAGTGAATGAATTCCTTGTTTTGCTTTGCTTGCGTGCCCACCTTTTGCTTTCCCTATTAACCTGTCTTTATCTCAACCCACGAGTTTTCTCACATTTACCCTTCCAATTCTCTCCCCCCTCCCACTGGGGGGGAGTGAGCGAGCGGCTGTGTGGTGCTTAGTTGCCGGCTGAGGTTAAACCACGACAGTTGTTCAACTGCTTTGTTGAAACTAAGTGATAACGTCCGATACAGTTCCTCTGCTGATTCTTAACCTCTGGAAAAGTAAATTTTTTGAACAAGAACTAGCTATGAGGAAGATTGTGGGTAAAGTTGTCCTTCCGAAGGTCTTGAGTTCTCCTGCTGACTGAAATGACATCATTTTTCTTAACCTGCAAATCCCGTTATTCTCTGTTAAAATGTTGATTTTCCATTTTCCTGAGGATTTTAATTTCGCAGGTTGTCCATGTTACCAGTGTTGGTTGTTGTTCTCCAAGGCAGTCCAACGCAAGTCTCCTGAAAGCGTCATCAGGTCTTCCTTGCTGTGGTACCTACCAGGCAGCTACTGGAGTAGTCAGAGCACTTCAAAGACGTGTTCGCGTTGGACTGGACGGTCCAGCGTGTTATGTCAATCTAAGTTTCTTTGTTGACTAAGAATGCAATTAAAAAGACTACTTTGACAGAAGGTCTCACTCGAGGGGGTGGCTGTGTGAGGTACCAGCTTGCTGTTTGAAAAGGTTCTTTCTGTTGCTTAGAAGCTCTGCCTTGCTCCTGGCCAGAAGTAAAGCTGTCATGCAGACATCAGGATAGCTGAGGAGTAATGAGGCATACAAAGATGATGAGTTGAGGATCCCAGCAGTCATGACAGTCACCTGCTGTTCAAGACAGGATGTAAGGCTCAGCCTAAAGACCCAAATTTCCTGCACTGTAGCCTCCATTATGGGAAAAAGAAAATTAAGACAACTCTGGCTATAATATTACTATTGATCACTGAATCATGAAATACGACATTCATCTAGAGATCTGGATAGACCAGAGAGCTGGGCAATCACCAACCGTATGAAATTTAACAAGATCAAGTGCTGGATTCTCCACCTGGGACGGGGTAATCCTGGTTATACGTACAAACTGGGAGATGAGAGGCTGGAGAGCAGCCCCGTGGAAAGAGATCTGTGTGTTTGGGTTGATGGCACATTGAATATGAGTCAACAGTGTGCCCTGGCAGCCAAAAGGGCCAACTGTGTCCTGGGGTGCATCAAGCACAGCATAGCTAGCCAGTGGAGGGAGGTGATTGTCCCACTCTGCACTGGTGCGGCCCCACCTTGAGTACTGTGTGCAGTTTTGGGTGCCTCAATATAAGAAGGATATCAAACTATTAGAATGTGTCCAGAGGAGGGTGACCAAGATGGTGAAAGGATTAAAGGGCAAGACTTAACGAGGAGCAGCTGCGGTCACTTGGCTTGTTCAGCTTGGAGAAGAGAAGGCTGAGGGGTCACCTCATCGCAGTCTACAACTTCCTCAAGGGGGACAGCAGAGGGAGAGGTGCTGATCTCTCCCTGGTGACCAGTGACAGGACACGAGGGAATGGAATGAAGCTGCGCCAGGGGAAGTTCAGGTTGGACATTAGGAAAAGGTTCTTCACTGAGAGGGTGGTCGGTCACTGGAACAGGCTCCCCAGGGAAGCGGTCACAGCACCAAGCCTGTCAGAGTTCAAGGAGCGTCTGAACGATGCTCATATGGTTTAGTTTTAGGTAGTCCTGCGAGGAGCAGGGAGTTGGACTCTGATCCTTATGGGTCCCATCCAACTTGAGATATTCTGTGATTCTGTGATCTTGGTGTAATTTTGTGTAAGGAAGAAAAGTGGCATGTTTTGGATTTTTTTTCTTTTTTTTTTTCTTACAATGTTTGGTGTTTTGGTATCCTTTATAATCCTTTAGGCCCACTCAGTATCTCATTCTTCACCAAAGGCATGTTTTGTATCTAGTATCAAGACTTCTGGGGAAGACAGTAATGAAAAAAGAAATCTCAGGGGCTACAGCTTTAACAGCTTTGGAGACACTATATATTTTCGTGTCTTGGGTAATTTAGGGCAAACAGTGTTTTCTCTAAGGAGTCTTCAAATTCATTTTGAAAAATCATTTGGATTTATAGCTCTCCTGGATTGAAGTGTCATCTGATTTGACTGTGAAATATGGTAATAGTCGACATCTCGCTTAATCTTCTGGCTTCTTTCTTTGTGTTTGCCTAACCTAGTCTCCCAGCAACACAGCTCAGTGAAGTAAGACATCTCTGGCCTTGCCTGCACTGGTTTGGAGTCGGGCGGGGTGGGGTGGGTGGTTAGCTTTCCAGCAATAGTCCTTATAAATAAAAAGAAACATGTGTCTCTGCCTTTTTTTCCCTTCCATTTTAAAAAAGATAATCCAGCCTTTCTTAGAATTACTTGTTTTTTCTCCTTTATGTTCTAAGTGCTCTGTTAGCATTCTCTTTGTTAAAAAAAGCAAATATTAAATCCTTAACTTTAGCTTTCTCTAATTAATGTACCTCTCTTGTTTCTTTGTCTCAATAGAGAATATTTTTAACACAAACTTACGTAGATGGGATATACACCAAATGACCATTTTTCCAGGAAAACACACCTTTAAAAATTTACGTTTTTTTTCTTTTTTTTACAAATCCTTTTGTCATTTCACTTAAATCCCCCCCTCCCCTCAGTCTCCTACCCCCAGCTTGTAGAAGCTACTGGTTTGCCTTCTTTTGCCCTTTCTAGTTTGTCTGTTTGGAGACAGAGGTGTGCATGTCAAGATTTTCCATGCTCTTTTTTTGGATAAAACTCAAGTCCTAAAATTAGTCGTAACACACAGATTTAAGGTTGAGTTTATTTGTAATGCGCATGCTTGCAGAATATTTTATGTAACTAAATATCAGTGTTTATGCACCAGAATTACTTTTCCTTTCTTCCTACAAACAAATTGAGGTTAAGGGGAAAGTTCAGATAAATAAATATCTGCTAATTAAAATGAGGAGCTGCTAAACTTAAACCAGCTCATCTGTTTCATTTTTTTCTTTATTGCTGATGATACTATTGTTCATTGCTGATGATACTGTTTCAATGAACAACCAACTCATTTCTAGCAAATAGTTCCTAGTGCACAAGCTCGCACTAGGGTGCCTTGTAATAGATTATAGGTGTTTTGTAGTTCTGAGCATCCTCATCTAGAGGCTCTTAAATAGAGAAAAAGGTGTCCCTTGACTTCAGAGTCGTTATATGAGACCCTCAAGGCCAGATTCTTCCTACTTGCTTGTTAGACACCAGTCTCCTAAATCTGTGGGAAGAGAGAGAAGAGGTTCAAGAAGCCAATTCAGCCCATCAAAGATGTGCATCACCCTCTCCATCAGCCACATCAGGAGCCCACGGAGGCTTTTGCTCACCCCATGCCAACAGTTCAGTGGCATGGGTGGGCGCTGAGTCCTCGTAATGGTGGTGGGTACTCTGCTGAACGTTTTTTCCACAGCACTTTGCTTTGCCTCAGGGGATGGTTTATGTTGTCTCAGCACAACCTGAGGAGTGTAGTTGCACAGCATGTCACCTCTTTGAGGAGACTTTGGGGATGAATCAGTCTCCCATCCTTATTGCATGCAAGCAGATGGGGCAGTGACCGATTCTGCTGAGAGCTGTAATTCCTTGTGTGTTTTGGTTTGCAGGGATGGAAGATGGCTTGTTGATATCTCAAGTGCATTTAGAAAAATCTCTTTATTGTTCTCAGAACAAGACTTGAGACTGAATGAGGCTGAATAGTGCTCTCCAGCATGCAAGCATGGGCATGTGGAACACTGGTGGCATGCTTTTGTTCTAATAGGTATAAGGAATGGGATTTTTAAGTACTAAAATAATTCTTGAACAGGCATATTCAATTAACAAAGTTCCTCAGGGCAACAAAGGTGATTATGAATTGTGATTTAAAAGGAGATTTTGACAGGTTAGCTTTTGGCTTAGGCTTCTACCTCTGCCTTGCTTTTGGTGATGAA